TATTCATGAGTTCAACATAATTATAATATTTATCAGCAGAATCTATAAATGCAAAATTAGTGTATATGCTATCAAATGTTAACTGCATCACAAATTTTTGCCCTTTATCTTCACAGTCAGTGGTTCCGATAATTGTAGTGACATCATTTCATATTTATCAGTGTCTACTGATAATAGACTAGACACTATTCTGTAGAAATATGCTATCACTTGATAGTGACACTATTGAACTTGAAAGAATTCACTTTTGAAAGTATATTTCTTTCGCTCGTTTATATCTCTCATCGATAGTTTATTGACAATATGAGTATACTGTTTGAGTCAAAAATGCAACCTATACTTATACTTTGTTGATACTTTAGTCAACTGATATGATTCTCACATTCGTCTTTTTTTTAGTAAGTAAGTAAGCTAGTATTCACTTTTTATTCTAATAGGTCCTGGAATCAAAATAGGCCAACATAATTATCCTAAATTGATAGCTTATTAGTCCTTTGTTCCATAGTTCCCAAACTATTCAAAAACTGTAAATTTTTCTAAAAATCAGGTTTCAGATGTGAACTTAATCATAACTAGAACCTAATTATAATTTTTTCAGACTTTTAGTTACGCATTAATAGTTTTTTATGGAATGTTTTATTGTCACATTCAAGTTTTGTTCCATTGCTGAGTGGAATGTGGTGGCCGTAAAATATCCCTTATTCAAGGAAAAAATTCTGATAAATTAAACTGTGGTGATGTATCGTTTCATTTGCTAGAGATTCTAAAATCTTTTCGGTGGAGGTTTGGAGGATCATTAGTCATATTGAATATGTCTTTCTGACCTGAAATGTTATTCTTGATAAAAAGATTGTCAAAGATATTTATCAGACATCATTTGAAGCTTTCTATGAACACATGTGTCAGCCAGTGGCAGTTGATAACGTCTATTTGTGAGTGTTTGTATGTTCACTAAAACAAGATTTTTTTGGGCAAAATGTCCAAAACAATTAAGTTTTTGACTTTTGTAAGCTGCGAAATTGCTGCTCATGTAAATATGTAAATCTCTACCTGTGTTATTGTTTGTGACTTTTTCATTAGTTCTCTTCTTAAATGTTGCGATCCAAGTTGCGATCATTTGATTACCTCTCAAAATTGAATGCAAAAAGGTGATTCCTCAAGCCCCAATTTATTTTTTTCCCAAATAAACTTACCAAACTTATTACTAATGACTATTTCTTTGTGGTGTTCAATTTCGACAGAATCATTTACGATTTTGACTCTTTTGACGGAAAGTTCAGTTTTGTCAGTACATCACGAATGGACAAGGCTGTAGTGGCACGCGAATTAAAATAAAATGAATAAAAATTATCGAGTTTATCATGTAGTTACAATGTTGAATGGAGATTAAATATTTTTACAGTTGGATTCCACCTTTTCTCAACATACTACGTTATGCGATAAAATCAACAGGAAATGATTCATTAATTCGATGACGAAACTGTGTTTATTTTTTTTGCAGACTTTTTATTTCGTTCAGAAATACATTGTTAGAATCTGTATATAAAATCCAAAGTTGAGTATCTTGTGCTGTTGTGAGTCATAACGTAATGTGCAAGTTTACTTGAGACTTATCAACAACACATGTCAACACATGATGATATTCAGCTAAGAAAATACGAGGTTAAAATAGAAAATAAATCATTAGGCGCCATAAAGTTTTTACGAGTGGATTGTTTACACAGGATCTCATCCTATGAATTCACAAGAATAGACATTATTTTTGGGCGAAATCAGAGCCCAAAGACAAATCATTCGTGATTCATTACCAGACAGCGCTGTTTCTATCCATTGTAAGTGGCATTACTGGTATTTGGCTGAACCACAAATGCATTGGAGAACTAAACTGGTTAGGTCAAGCCTGAGTAAGTAAAGGCGATGACGTCTACACCATAGATAGAGCAATCAACTACTACCGCTCAAAATTCAATTTAGAAGAGACTTGGACAGATTTGTTCAACTGTAAAGTAACATATTCAAAGCAAATTTTAACAAAAAATATTTTTCTCCACTTTAATTAAAGCATTTTTTTGCTCATAAAAAAAGCGATTTATTTCCCATGAGTACCCAGTTACAGGAAATGCTATTATTACAGAGTATATATGAAATAAATATTAAAAATAATGGAATGTATAAAAGCTAAAACAAAGTATATATAAAATATTCGTATACGTAGAATTTCAAAAGAGGAATGAAAAATTGAGTATATAACACAAAAAGTTACAAATCATGCAATGTAGCAGTACTGATACAAATGTTATTTATAGTGTTATTAAAAGTGATTGTGGATACATGATATCAAAGCGTTCAGAGAGTCGAAATGATTATCGCAATGTTCACAGATTTTTTTGAAGCTACTGCACATAAAATTTAATGGTGATCGCAGAATAACATTTGTGCGTGATGCTTCGCAATAGAATTTCAGATAGTGTCGACCTTCACTTCTTGGTACTGAGAAATTGATCTCGGGTAAAAGAACCGTACTGTCAATATTGTTGTTTAGTAATTTAAATAGGAATTTTATACCAAGGATAACTCTCCTATTTTCCAAAGATGGCATATCAAATCGTGTCAACAAAATATTTTGATAGATGCCTCTCGTGGGGTATTGTCCGTCAACTCTTAGGCATAAGTATTTTAGGAACTTCTTGCAGGTTTTTATGCCTGACGTTTCGTCTATTACTGCGGCAGACATTATCAAAGGCGATGAGGTAACGATCGAAGTGCTCGAGTGGGTTCACAACGCATAAAATACAATGCTGGAATTTGTCTCCGGTTTTGTATTATCAAAGGTGGAAGTGACTTCGTTTCTCTTAATTGGATTGTCTGACAATTGAGGACAGGTAGCCAGGTTCTATTGATGTTCATTGGCTCTTTCTTTCTATCGAAATTATCCCTGTGTTTCTTATCCATGAAAATGAAGAGGCAATGAACATTACTGAAATCAGGCTACCTGTCCTTAAGTTCCGGTAATCCAATTGAGAGAAACGAAGCCACATCCACGTATGATAATATAGAACCGGAAACAAATTCCGGCTTTGTAGTTTCTGTGTTGATAACTTCTCAAGCACTACGACCACAGTAGTATACGAAATGTCAGATATACAAACCTGCAGACTATGGCCAAAAAACCCGGAAAATAACTTTCACAGTCATTATTGGTATTATAAACAGTATCATTCGAAGTGTTACAAAATGTTACAAAAATAGTTTGTTGGGTGAGATAAACGAATTTAACGAGAGTTGATACGCAGGATATGATGTAGCAGTAGTGTGAAACAAACAAGTCATAATGATTGTTGAAGAATTCTATCTGATTTTGTTTTGTGAATTAACCTGGATTGGTCAGTGAGGTTACAAGTTTTGAAAGATAATATATGTGAATGATGACTAGTTTATTTTGTGATAAGTAATTCATGAAATTAATGAAAATAATTTTGTCTAATTTCCACGGGTTTAACCCCATTATCAGTTTAATTTTATACTTGATACTGGGGTTAAACCCGAAACCGGTTGTATAAATAAAATTAATTAGTGGACATTAGACAGAAGTGTTTTTATATTCATTTCATTAAAGTGATTTAGAAAAATAATTAGGCAGGGAAAGTGAAGGTTCTACGGTTTTTACTAACATTGGAGCTCTTTGCTCGAATAGATTCATCTGGAAAAGTCAGTGGATTATATTTAATGAGCTTCTTTATGAAAATGAGTTACATACACTCCAAATCTAGAATATCAATTTATTTCTGATTACCTCGCAGCAATGTAACAACGACGGGGCGTAGTTATTCATTTAACTTCCGAAATTGTCTCCAAAATTCAGAATAGATACCTACCAAATGATTTAACACCTTGCACTTCAATATTTAACATTCACAAAAGATTATCTTGCATTAAATGTTCAAAGTTTCATAAATTGTTTTTTCGACAGATAAAAATGAATTGATTTTATTTTTATGCGAAAACCTTACATCTAACAAAAAAACAACATTTCAGAAATGAAAGATCGTTTCAAAAATTATTTTAACTTTAAGAAAAAAAAATTCACATATCACTTTCCTATTCAAAATGATTAGGCAATAATAACAACTATGTTAAGCAGTCGAAAACACGTTTTTATACATAGGAATAATATGTTCTACGATAATATTTAAGCTCATATCAAAGTATTCATTATTTTTGCTTAAAAGTTTAGCAACCTTCAGGACACATGTTTATATGCATGGACTCAAAAAATTCTTATGCTTCTACCAATAATCAGGAATTGAAAACAGCCACAGACAATACAATTTGTTATACTACAGATTATATCTATCATAGGTGGTTGGATGTACTGTGAATCCTAAAGACAGATCATAGAACGTTTTGCACATAGACGTGATTCCAAGCAATTGCTTGGTCAACTACTTAATTATATTGTACATCATAGCACCAACCTTTTTGAAAAAGTTGTTATTCTACTGTATTAGTGCATTATTTTCGGTTCCTACAACACCACCATGTTGCAATTGTCGTTCTATGGTTAGACCACTACGTCTATGTTCAAATAGTGAGGTGTTACACTAAACAATACTTGATAACATGAGTGAATCATTTTGTCAATTCCATAAACACCAACCTTTGTCTATGAAAAAGCCCAATGTTTTCTAGATGGCGAATGTTAATTGAAGAACGTATTTGTGATGCACTGTTTGGAACCTTTAGTGTAGTAATGAATATTACTGGAATTAAATCCCAACACCGTTATTTTATCACCTCGAAACGTGTTTCAATCACCAAGTGATCATCTTCAAGAGGAAGATCAAACTCCTCTTGAAGATGATCACTTGCTGATCAAAATACGTGTTGAGGTGCTAAAATAACGGTTTGGTATTGGGAAAAAACTCCAGTTAAATTGAATATTAAGTTTATCTCACTGAAAATATTTACTCAACTAACTACATATTTCTTTTTTGTTTCAGATGGACCATCTGATATTCATTGTTCAAGATCATCTTCAGTACCTTCAATCGCCGCTTTAAACTCTCATTTCGGTTACCCATAGAAAATAACTCAATAAAAAAATGAAGACGTGCTTTTTATCTTCGATTATTTTATTCATATCAATTTCCCTGAGTTCTGGGTTATTGGAAGGACCTAATGTATGCACCAGACAAGAGACGTAAGTGAATGCATGTTACTTAGTAAAGTATTTATGAGGTAAAAATTCCAAATTCTATTTACGACACTAATGAGGATAGTAAGCATCAAATTCAAATATATTTGCGAACGGCAACTCTCAGTAATTGAAACTTGTGCTACCTGAGGAAATCAACTGCGACCCACATTGATCCTCTCAGGTAGCCTACTATATCATATGTTCAATAATGGATAAAATGAAGGAGTGGGACTCTGCCAAATGCTGAAAACCTGAATCGATTCGCGGATGAGTAGGTAGACACAGAGTATGTGCTCTGTAGTGAGGACCTAATCCATGGCCAGTCTGCTTATTTACCGGACTATCTTCGTCAGGTAAATAAGCAAAGAAATATGTGGCTTGAGAAGTAGTACTACTGTAACACATTTGAGGGAGACGCTTTCCCAATTATCTCGGGTAACTTGTAGCTATCCGGACCTACAAATGAGAGTATTTGTAAGTCAGCTATACTTGACGCTACATTGCTCACCTACCTGACTACTGTCGTCAGGTAGGTAAGCAAAAAATGTGTGGCTTGGAAAGCATTTCTCCTGTAACACATTTGAAGAAGACGCTTTCCCGACATGTAGCCATCCGGGCCTGTAAATGAGAATATTTGTAAGACAGATTCACTTGACGCTACAATACATTCAGCTTTGCAGGGCTTCTTGAACTCTCGATTCCCGATTCTCTCAGGTAACATGTAGCCATCCGGGCCTACAAATGTGTTTATTTGTAAGTCAGCTTTATGCTACATTGCTTGCCTACCTGAATGCCTTCGTCAGGTAGCTAAGCAAAAAAATATGTGGTTTTGAAGTAGTTCTCCTGCAACACATTTGAAGAAGACGCTTTCCCGACATGTAGCCATCCGGGCATGTAAATGAGAATATTTGTAAGACAGATTCACTTGACGCTACAGTTAATTCAGCTTTGCAGGGCTTCTTGAACTCTGGTTTTGGTGAATCATCGTTTGAGCAGTCTGCTCATGGGGAGTTTACTAAATCCCCTGCTGCAGATTTTGCTTCTGTTGATCAAGAATTTGGAGCAGAGCTGGTTCATAAGATATCCTGCCTTTCAACAGGCGATAAGTTTTTCAACAGGATGAAGTTGGAGAAATGAGAAGTTCTTGCTCTTGATCCGATAAACAGTTGGAGTCGTTCAGTCTCCCCTGCAGACTCAAGTCTTTTACAAAGACTTCTAGACTGAAAGCTACACAGCTAAATTTAGATTAATGACACATTCATCCAGGCTCTCTAAGCATTGATAAACCAGAGAGTCTCACTACTAGATCAGAAAATGGACCAAACTGAGGAACACTGGTAAAATATGCCTTACGTTTCGTCTGCTACAGCGACAAACATCTTCAGTGGTGTTTGCGTGAATTGCGAGGACGTAAGTGGTGGTATCTCAAAGTCTCAGTAACGACTGAATGAACAAATTGTCTTTAATACCCCCCCCCTTTTTATTTTTCGAACGGGTCAACTCAAAAAATTGAAATTTGGGATAATGAAATTAATGCATGAATACTTTATTTTGAAGTGAAATCGACAGATGAAACTTTCAAGATGGCGACTGGGTGCCATCTGGAAAAAAAAATTAAATGGAAAGCGGGGGCCTTGTGACACTTCATTTTGAAGCTCCAGACGAATACTTCACAACCATAGAATATGAAATCATATCTTCAGCAACTACAAAATGGCGGAAATTTTAATAATTGCCTGAATACATTGACATTTAACTACATAATATGAGGTAATAAGCTTGAGGTCAGTTCAGAAGATGCTCTAAATGGTTGCCTTGAACTTCTTGACATATGAACAGCCTATCCGATATTTCTCGCCGAACATTTTCGACCACAATATTTCGTCAATATCTCTACAAATATTTATTATTCTCTGCCGTATGTCCAATATTGAAACAGGTTCGGTTTCGTACGCCTTTTGCTTCAAATAGCCCCATAAAAAATGTCCAAAGGTATCAAATCAGACGAGCGGGCTAGCCATTCTGTAGGACCTCGACGGCCAATCCAATGACCGGGAAAAGTAGTATCTTAGTATAGTATCTTACTTATCTGGAAAAATGTGGTGGTCTTCCATCTTGTTGGAATACAATATCCATATCGAATTCATTGGGATTCGCTTCGACGATTTCAGTGATGAGAGGGTCAACAGTAGTTTCCAGCATATTCAAATACGGTTCCCCTGTTTAATTTTTATCGATAAATAGAGGTCCTATAATATGGTTTCCCAATATTCCTGCCCAAACGTTAATTTTTGCTGGATATTGGGTATGTGTTTCCCGGAAAACGTGAGGTAATTTTGTCTGTGGACATTGCCGTTTAAAAAAATGTACATTCGTCACTAAAACAAATATTGTGGAGATAGGTAGGATGCCTTGCAATGGTTTTTGTCGCATGATTCTGTTCTTCGATCAGGGTCATCTTCAGTTAATTGGTGTACCATTTTAATTTTGTATGGATGACACCTATTGATCTTCAAAAGTCTCCACCCAGTAGAAAAAGACACCTCAAAAACATTCGCGATGTAATAAGTAGACCGTTCAGGATTTACTACCATCTCACCATTTATTTGCACTTGCTGTTCTTCTGGAATGGACGGATGACCTGGGGGCTTTTTGTTATGTACACTACTGGTAGTTGTGAATTTGGATACAAGTTCCCTCAAATATTTTCTACAGATAGGACGATTCGGAAATCGTTCATTGAGAATCCTTTCGGTCTCGTGAAAGTTAGGTACGCGTTGCACCGTATATAAAAATCGCTTCAATTTTTTCTTCCAATGGACGAGAATTGACCATTTCACAGATTGTTGACATGGTACCTTTCTACTAGTAAAAACGAAAACTAACTGAACAATGATGTTCATTGTCGCACTGACATTTTTTGTCATTTGTATAAACAAAAAATACCTTACCAAATCTTATCGTGTTGTTGGAATTGCCATATGGCAGATGAAAAGGAATATTTCTAGAAATATCGATATTAATGTGTTTTTCTTCAGGAAATTATTAAGTGTTCCGCCATTTTGTAGTAGGTGAAGATATTGACTTCATATTCTAGGGTTGTAAGGTATTCGTCAGGAGCTTCAAAATGGTGTGCCGCAATACCCCCTTTTCTATTAAATTTTTTTCCCAGATGGCGCCCAGTCGTCATCTTGAAAGTTTCATCTGTCAATTTCACTTCAAAATAAAGTATTTATCCATTAATTTCATTATCCCAAATTTCAATTTTTTGAGTTGACTCGTTCAAAAAATAAACGAGGGGGACATTAAAGAAATGCACTATATATTCAACAGAAAACCTGTTCAAACTACAACAGGAAACAAGATAGCTGGAATGGGGGCATGAAATGATGAAAGAAAAACACTATATGAGAATGCAGTGTTTTCCATAGGATTGAAAGAAACGAATAGGGTGGACGGCTCTCAAACAAAACTATTATGCAAATGTAGTTTCATTCGCGCCAGAAGTTTTGCATCACACCTATTTTCTTAGTGATAACTCAACTTTTTGTCGAATTGTAAATGTTAATTTGAGAATGCAACACAAGCAAGAAAACTATAACACCAATATTATGAAGATCGTTGGCTTATCCCCATAGAGTCAACATATTTTGTTGGTATTAAAATGATTAACATGTTCATGTTGGGTTTATCGGTTACGATACGAGATATGACTATCTAATTTTCTAATTCTCAATATGAAAATGTTAACCTAACGGTTTGAACAAGCCTTGCTTGTATTCAAGAATTCAAATTGAAAGGAATTGATCAATCCTGATACTGTAGATGTTCGAGAAATGTGAGTGCCTTGTAGTTTATTCTTTAAATGAAGGGTAGGCAACAGGGCCGGCGCTAAGTAATTTAGTTTTTCATTTAAGATGTAGACTGGGCGTCTATTAATATTAACACTTGTTCACAAAAAGGGTTTGAAGCTTTAAAAACTTTTAATTATTATATGCGAGAGCTTTCGATAGCAGACTCTACTCAAACTGAACGTTTTATCTTCTTGTTTGTTTTTTTATACGGTTAGATCGCCTTAATGAATTTGTTATTGTTGTTGATGGTTCATTAGTTAGAGCTTGGGCAGGTATTTGCCCTAGATCTTGTTGTATATTGATTTGTATTTGTTCATCGATGAGTAAATTATGACTTTTGAATTTATGAATGTTTAGGTTTTTCCAGATGTCCATACGGTTCCCTTTATTGACTTGTTTTATGAGTTTGATATTTTCTGGTGAGGAAAAGTTATGTTTGTTTTGTATGGCCTGTGTTGCGAGGTTTGATATATATGTTAATGGGTTTATGTATGATTTATTTAACTAGATAATACATAACATTGAGCTTAACAGTAGAATCATCAACAGTATTGCCAATATGATTGCTTACCCATTATCCCTATTAATAAATGAATGTGTTTCTCATGGGGTTTTTCCTGCAATATTAAAAAAATCTGTAGTCCTGCCTCTTTTTAAAAAAGGAGACCCTCATATTATTGACAACCTATTTCAATAATACCTATACTTGGAAAAGTTATCGAGGTAATTGTCAAAAGCAGATTAATAGCATACTTAGAAGCTAATTCTTTTTTCTGCCCCGGACAATTTGCGTATAGAAAGGGCAAGTTCACAATCGATGCTCTTTTGAATATCATATCCAGTATAGTGATAGGTTTTGAGGAGGGCAGACATTCATTCATAACGTTGTGCGATCTATCGAAGGCATTTGATTGTGTTTCGCATAATATTATGCTTGAGAAACTTTCCTATTATGGTATCCGCGGAATGTCCCTTAAATTCTTTTAATCCTATTTGCACAATAGATCACTGTGTGTATCATTACATGGGATTAAATCGAATGTGAAATCTGTCAAACATGGTGTGCCCCAGGGTTCTGTACTGGGACCAATCTTGTTTATACTATATAAAAAAATGTTTTCTTTTTGCGGATGATACCACTTTGGTGGA